CAAAATGAAATTCTAGAAAGTTGTTTTGTTGTACACAGTCATGCAAGATCATGAAGTAGTGATGAAAATTCCATACATGGGATGGAGAAGGTTCCAAGGCATCTGTTATAGCTTAGCATGATATGTAAACTCAGCCATTATTTGGGGTTATAACCACACAAACAAGCTTTTAATGATATAGTTTGTACTCACTAGATCAAATATGTCCTGTATTTGGACTTCTGTCTGTCTGTCTGTCTGTCTATCTATCTATCTATCATCCAGCGGACCTTAAATGGATCAGAATAGCTGGACCATTGCCACATCTCCATTTAGTGTTGTGTAGACATGGACAGAGGCAGAAGGATGCAGATGCACCATGGGTAATCACAGAAATTGTGTTGGAATTCTATAACCTGAGCTGGAGGGAGCTAGTTCCTCCCACCCTTCTACATCTGCAGAGTGAGAAGCACCATCATGTGTTGAGAATGTCTTACATGGTAGGAGTCTCACAGAGACTCACCCCTGGACAAAGTAAAGGCGTGGACTTGACCAGATATGGTTCATAACAGAAATGCCTCTCACTTTAAAAACAACCAACTGAGGGACGCCTGGGTGGCTCAGTCAGCTAAGGGTCTGCCTTCAGCTCAGGTCATGATCCCGGGGTCCTGGGATCAAGTCCCGCATCAGGCTCCCTGCTCAGTGGGGAGCCTGCTTCTCCCTCTGCCTGCCACTTCCCCTGCTTGGGCTCTCTCTCTCTCTCTTTTAAAGATTTTATTTATTTGAGAGAAAGAGAATGAGAGAGAGAGAGCCCATGGCGGTGGGGGGAGGATCAGAGGGAGAAGCAGACTCCCCGCTGAGCAGGGAGCCTGGTGCAGGACTCGATCTTGGGACTCCAGGATCATGACCTGAGCTGAAGGCAGTCGCTTAACCAACTGAGCCACCCAGACTCACCCCCCTCCCCCCGTCTGACAAATAAATAAATAAAATCTTAAAAAAAAACCCAAAAACAAAATAACCAACTGAGTTTGGTTATTGGTGATACATTCCCTCTAGAGGGTGAAGATATTTAGAGAGAGTTAAAATAAAAATAGCAAGGCTCAAGGAAGGATCTATCATCCCTGTATCAATATTTGTCTGTAATGGAACTTTTCAATAGTGTAAAACCTTCAGGCTTTTATTCCAGAAAAGGTGGCCTGAGTGTTTAAACATCAGAGGCAAGAAAATGGACCACAGGGCGCCTGGGTGGCTCAGTTGGTTAAGCCACTGCCTTCAGCTCAGGTCATGATCCTGGAGTCCCAGGATCGAGTCCCGCATCGGGCTCCCTGCTCAGCGGGGAGCCTGCTTCGCCCTCTGACCCTCCCCCCTCTCATGTTCTCTCTCTCTCTCTCATTCTCTCTCTCAAATAAATAAATAAAATCTTTAAAAAAAAAAGAAAAGAAAAAAGAAAATGGACCACATTTAGTACTTGCTACTTTGCAGTTTATTTTTGCTGACAATTCTCAAGTTTTGCAAGTTTGGTCTTCCAAACCCCATAGCAGAGTGATCATTATCTTCCTGAGTCACTGTCATAAGGAAAATAGGGCAGGTCTCCCCACCTTGGTGCTGGGACATTGCTTGCTAGGTACCCAGTGACATAACCTTGCCCTATTTGAGTTTGTTAGAAAAATGTCTTGCTCTGCATAGTTTTCTGCACTCCCCATTGTTCTCAAAATCATGGAAAGATTAAAATTACATGAAAATCCTTACTGAGATATTTTTTTCCCCATGACACTTACATAGTGACACAAATACAGGTCTGAGATAGCCCCTTCATATTTTCCCCAAAGACTTCCAGGGGAGGACACGCCCCACTGTATTGTAATTACATGGTTGCTTTTCTGTGCCCCTCAGACCCCTGGGTGGCTCAGTCAGTTAAACATCTGCCTTGGGCTCAGGTCATGATCCCAGGGTCCTGGGATGAAGCCCCGTATTCAGAAGCAGAAGCCTGCTTCTCCCTCTCCCTCTGCAGCTCTCCCTGCTTGTGCTCTCTCTCTCTGTCAAATAAGTAAAATCTTAAAAAAAAAAAAAAGAAAAAAGAAAAAAAGAAAAGGTAGGGGATAGAAAACTCCTTGGAGGTAGAGAACCATAATGGGTTCCCCTCTGTATCCCCATGACCTGCACATCGCCTGGAACATGGTAGTCTCTCAGTAAGTCTTTACTGATGCATCGATATTGAATATCTCTACCTGGAAGACTGTTATTCACATATAAATGGTTGACCCTTGAACAACATGAGGGTCAGGGGCACAGACCCCCTATGCAATTGAAAATCCATGTATAACTTTTGATTCCCCGAAAACTTAACTACTAATAGCCTATTGTTGGTTGGAAGCCTTACTGATAACATAGCACATATTTTGTATATTATATGCATTATATACTGTATCCTTACAATAAAGCAAGCTAAAGAAAATGTTAAAATCATAAGGAAGAGAAAATACATTTACAGTACTATATTTTAAAAATCCATGTATAGTGGATGCATGTAGTTCAAATCTGTGTTGTTCAAGGGTCAATGGTACTTATTTTTTTTACTTTTTATATTTTACTTTTTTAATATTTATTTTATATTTCATATTTACTTTGTTTTTGTTTTGGTATAGTCTTTTTTTTCTTCTCCTTACTATATAGCTTTTGTTCTAGATTCCTGACCTTTAGAATCAGTAGACTTTTACACTATAAGAGAAATCTTTGGATTTTATATCCTGTGGTTTTCTGAGAAACCACTAAAAGAAAAATTTCTTATGCAAATGATTTTCATGGGAGAAGTCCAGTTATTTTTCTCCTCTTTGGTAGTTCAAAATATTTTTCACACATTCCTTTATGCAATAGTTTCCTTCCAGGTGGACTTAACCCACTTCAAATGGGAAAATGTAGCACTAGGTCTGTGAGAGGGGGAGCAGAGTCAGCACCTGAATAATTATGCTTTGCATTTGTCTGCCGTGTGCCACCTTAGCATACATTATCATGTTCCAGTCCCACAGACATGATGTTAGATGAATTGCCCAGGCATGTACAGTAGCTTATCTCACTAGTGAAGAAATCAAATCCAAGAGGAAGGAAGGGATTTCTCCAAGCTTACCTGGCTAATTTCAACAATAGGTCAGCAACCTGCATCTTTCACCTCTTTGCAATGTGATGCACTTTGGACGATGCTATGAAACTCAATGTGTTGCTTCGGTGGCATTTTATAGACAAGAATAATAAACAGAGGGAAGAAACAGATGCAAAAATGAGAGCACTATAGTTACTACCTCTAAAGACACCAGACTGTGGAAGCATCGAGAAAGCACCTGGAAGAACTGAGCTGTATGGCAGTTGGAAAAGTTAGTGCTGTTTCGCTTGGAGCAGAGGCGGGGGCGGGGGGCGGGGGGGGGGGCGGGATTGTGTTCTCATAAGAGCATCTCATCAGAGAGTAAAGGATGCACTTTTCTACCATGTTTCGATTATTTAAGCTTCACCTCCTCACATTAGACCCACAAAATTCTAGGAGGCGTTCTCTCTCTAAGAATTTGATCTCTTCTCTGACAGCTCTGAGGCAGATGGCAGGAAGATGGGGTGGGGGTGGGTCCCCACAGAACACAATGTATACTAGAGCATCTAGTTCTCTATTTAAAGAGTGGAAATATATTTCCTCTTCTCAATACGCTTTTATGGGTGAAAAGCAAAGGGATTGATGAGGGAAAAAATTATTTCAAAAGGATTATCTGACCTTCTTGTAGCAATTTTATGTAGCCTTTTATAAAAAATAATATGACGGTCCCCTACTTCTAACAGTATGACCTAAGGTCTTTTGACTTTGTGATGGTGGGGAAGCCATGTGCATTCAGTAGAAGCCATACTTTAAACTTTGAATTTGAATCTTTTCCCAGGCTAGCAATATATGGTAGGATACTCTCTCATGATGCTGGGCAGGAGGCCACGGCTCCCAGGCAGCCCCGCCATCAGGAGGGTAAACAGCCAATACACTTACAACCACTCTAGACCCATTCAACCATTCTTTATTTTATTTTTTTTCTTTACTTTCAGTATAGTAGTCAATAAATTACGTGAGATATTCAACACCTTATTATAAAATAGGCTTTTTGTTAGATGATTCTGCCCAATTGTAGGTTAATATAAGTGTTCTGAGCATGTTTAAGGTAGGCTAGGCTAAGCTATGATGTTTGGTGGTTAGATGAATTAAATGCATTTTCAACTTATGATATTTTCAACTAGGATGGGTTTCTCAGGACATAACCTTACTCTAAGTCAAGGGATATCTATAATATAGTTTAAACAGCCTAAAGGATCATTTTGAATTTATTCTTATAATAATCTCCAACCATCCATAATAATATTCTGTTTTAGAAGTCAGTCAGTTACTCAGCCAACAAATATTAAGGATCCACTGTGTGTCAGGCTCTGTGGATGAATAATAAATGAATAAGGAATGACTGGTTGATGAATAAGATACAGATTTTGCCCTCCAAAGAACTCCCATTCTAGAAAGAGAAAGAAAATAAATTTGTAAACAAATTAGTAAAGATTATTCAAGGCTGAGGGCGCCTGGGTGGCTCAGTTGGTTGAGCGACTGCTTTCAGCTCAGGTCATGGTCCTGGAGTCCCTGGATCGAGTCCCGCATCGGGCTCCCTGCTCGGCAGGGAGTCTGCTTCTCCCTCTGACCCTCCCCCCTCTCTCTCTCTCATTCTCTGTCTCAAATAAATAAAATCTTAAAAAAAAAGATTATTCAAGGCTGAAAAGCTGAATGTCGTGGGGGACATTTTCATCTTGTGCTGAGCCTGAGCACATCTGGAGCCTCCTAGCGCCCAAATGGAGATGAGACTCTTCCCAAGACGACAGACCTGCACCTGCAGCTCTGTCTCTACCACGACTCTAGTCAAGAACAATGTCAAAAGTGAGAGATGGTTCTCATATTTAAGTGTGTATAGTTTCACCTGAGAAAGTCATGACCATATGCTGCTTTATTTTTATTCTAGGAATCTTGGAAAATCAGGACTCAGAGTTTCTTGCTTGGGTCTTGGTAAGTACCAGGGGTATCACGTGGGGGTGGATTGGGAGATGGGAGATTGGGGAGAACACCAAGGTAGTGACTGGGATCAGGTTGAGACCCAGTCTCAGGTGAGGAGGGGCTTCCTGACCAGCATGGGCCCACTTCTCCTTCTGAGCCTTTCCTGCCCAACACAGCCCTCTCCCTCTCTATGCCCAAAGAGCCACTGTGCTCATGATGCCTTATGGGGCCCATCAAGCAGAAATAAATCTGATATTAAAGCACACCTTAGAGGAAGAAATTTATGTGTTACTCATGTGTAGCAAATGCGAAGAACCTCATTGTATGCATGTGTATGCTCACCTTACCTATAGCTTCATCTGAGTTTTTTTTCTATCCTTATTTTCCCTTTGCCTAATTTACTCACGAATTTTTCTATACTGTTGTGTATTTTATGTACTTTTTATGTACTTGTATAATGTACCTTAAATACTCTCGGGACAAAGTGGTGTGTGTGTGTGGTGTGTGTATATGTATATACATATACACACACCACACACACACACACACACACATACAAATTATATAGAAAGAAATATATATATTTCCTCCCAGAAAATGTAAATATTTAAAGAAGACTAAGTTGAGATGGCAATGGTAACAGCATGAGGATGAGTCTGAAACGGTGAAATCTGAGTGGGAGACTTGGGTAGGTGTAAGGCTTCCGGGTTTCCCCCAGATATGGGAAAAAGCAGCCTTGGTGTTTGGGCCCTTCAACACCATGAGAGCTATTCCTGTAACCTGAGAGAGTCTAGACCATGATGATAGCTGAGGCATGATGAGAAGTGGTCAGATTATGGCTCTGGTTTGGAGGTAGAGCCTGGCAGGTTCTCTGATTCTGTGTGGAATGGAGAGCAAAAGAGAAGAGGCAAAGATAACTAGGGGTTTTTTGCTTGAACAGCAGAAATGATGGAGTTGTCAGTAAATGAGATGTGGAAGAGTGAAGAAGGAGAGCTTTAGGAAGGGGGAGATGAGGAGATTGATTTTTGGATGTATTAAGTTTCAGATACCTGTTAGATATCCAAGACAAATAGGTCAAATAGGTAAATGGATAGGTAAATGAATCTCGACTTCAGAAGAGAGATGTTGGTGAGGTGCATGAGGACTTGAAAGTCCTCAACATGTAGATGCTGTTTAAGCCACAAGACTGGTTGAGAGCACTATGGGAGTGAGTAGAGATAAAACATGGGAGCACATGGTCTGAAACCTGTGAAGTCCAACATTAAGAAATCAGGAAAATGAGCAAGAGCCAATAAAGAAAACTGAAAAGAAGCAGTCAGTGTGGTAGGCAGAGAAGCAGGAGAACATGGAGGCCTGGAATCTAGGTGAAGAAAATATTTATAGGAGGATGAAGTGACCAACCCTATTAAATGCGGCTCATAGGTCAAGCAAGATGAGGGTCAAGAATTGATCATGTAGCAGGAGGGAGGTCATTGATGACTTTGAAAAGATAATTTTTGGGGGGTAGAGAGCTCATGCATGATTAGAGTGGGTCCAAGAGAGCATACTGGGTTCAAGAGAATAGCTGGCGGCTACTCTTTTGATGACAATTTCTATAAAAGGAAGCAGAGAATGGAGGGGCAGCTGGATAGGTGGAGAGTGCTTTTACCCATGGAAGAAATGACAGCATATCCTATATGCTGATGAGGAAGTCCTTTTGAGAAGGAAAAAAAAAAAATGATGTAGGAGAAGACAAAAAAAATACCTAGAATGATTTCTCGAGGACACAAGAAGAGAGTAACATGAAAGCAGGCTGAGTACATAGGCTCTGAGGCTGGTAGGTGGGTTGACTGGGTGGTGGTATCTCATAGAAGTTCTCTTCTATTCCTTCTCTATTGTCAGTGGAAATCAGAAGCAAGGTCATCAGCTGTTAGTGAGGATGGGAAGGAGGTGTTGAAAGTTGGATGAGAAAGAGGATATCCAGGACAGCAGAAGGGTAAATAGACCGAGGGATGCGTCAGAGGGGTCAGAGAGCATTATGCATCTGCTTGAGATGCATGCTAATAAATTTAAAGTGAGACCATCTCCATGGTTGGGTGTTTTTCCTGCAGCCATGTTCAGCTGTGCAGATGGGGTTTTCCAAGGGCATATGATGAAAAAGAGAAGCCAAGAAGCTGAGAGTTTAGGGAAAGGGGTGATTATAATGGTGGGCCTCAGAGTTTAAACTGAGCAAAGAGAAAAATGAGCACTAGAGCCAGGAAAATGATCCATGAGTAAAATGAGGAGGTGGAGGGACAGTGGAAAATGGGTAGGATTGATGAATCGTGCAAACAGAGGGACCAAAAGATTGTTGGAATAAAAGCAGTAGAGACAGTAAGATTAAAGGATAGAAAGTGGTAGTTAGAAAGGGAAATGCTTGAAATTGAGGTTTGGGGCATTGGGTGTTGGGTAGTGACAAGTCTAAGGTGTGTCCATTGGCAGAGGGTGGCTGAGGTTGTGTTGAAGACAAGATAAGTTGAGAGGTGGAGGTCAAGAAACTGAGAGATAAAGTGCAGGGAAGGATGATCTTCGGGGTCACTGAAATCACTAAAAAGTGTAACAAAACTAATATTGAGGGGGTGCCTGGGGTGGCTCAGTCAGTTAAGTGGCCGACTCTTGATTTCAGCTCAGGTCATGATCTCAGGGTCCTGGGATCCAGCCCATCTCAGGCTCTGCACTCAGTGGGAAGTTGGCTTCTCCCTCTCCCTCTCCCCACTCCCCCAGTTCGTGCACACACTCTCTCTCATATAAATAAATAAGATCTTAAAAAGAAAAAAGAAAAACTAATATTGAAGAGAGAGACAGTGAGCCAGAGTTAAAATTTTCAAAGCATGAGAATTACTAGGGGTGGTTAAGTGATTGTAACATGGGGGCCTGTTGATGTGGGATTCAGAGTGGTGGGCAGACACTGGGGAAGGGCTGGGAGGAGGATTTCTTGGCTCCTATTGAATGAAAGTGTGGAGACCAGGGAAGGGACAGTAGTAAATGAATTAAAGGTAGTAGCAACTAATTGTGCCACCTTTCACTGTATTTCAAAGATATTGAAGGCTATTGATGCCTGAGTTTTTCTGACTCTCCTGAATGATGATTTGGGAGGTGAGGGTGGTCTTTGTTCACCATAAATCTAAGGGAATGGGACATTTGCTTAATTGATGGCTCTGATCTTGTTATCATTTACTTATATTTGAAAGACTCTGGAGGTTCATTATCAGAGATAATCTGACCTTAGTTTTTTTGAGAATGTGCTTTATGGTAAACAATTATTCACTATTTATTATTGAAAGAAATTACCTATAAATATAAACTAAGAAATAGACTAGGGGCACCTGAGTGATGCAGTTGGTTAAGCATCTGACTCTTGGTTTCAGCTCAGGTCCATGATCTCAGGGTCGTGAGATGGAGCCCTCATTGGGCTCTGCACTCAGCACAGAGTCTGTTTGAGATTCTCTCTGCCTCTCCCACTTGTGCTCTCTCTTCTTCTCTAAAATAAGTAAATCTTTAAAAAAATTTTTTTAAAAAAATAGAGTAATCTAAGAAAATATTAATTAGGAAGTATAGTGAAAAATCATAGATCAACTATCTCATAGTATCTATGTCAGAAAAATAATTTAGTCAAATGTACATAGAAAACTCAAGCAAAAGCGCTTAAAACTAAAAAAAAAATCAGGTGTCTATTAAGTCCCACATGTAAATGAGTCTCCAGAGGGAGGACTGCAGTTTTTTAAAACCCCAGTGTCTGTGTGTGTGTGTGTGTGTGTGTGCGTGCGCATGCGCACGCACTCTGTAGGTATTTTGGTGAACTTTCAAACAAAACTTTGATTCAAGGGTAGGAAGTCCTGATTTGAGCTTCACATTTTTCTGAGAACCTGAACACTTGTGATAAGACGTTGTGTGAAAAATAGGAGGAAACAAAGAAACTCATGGGGTTGACCGACTTCATTCAAAACAGGTAACAAAGCTTGGTTGAATAAGCATTTTTTGAGAACTTTTCTGAGCTGCCTCTGTTAGCCAGAGGAGATGAAGAACATCATAGAAAGGAATAATGCACCAGCCTTAGATAATCTGTCAGGCCCTGCAGACCCCAGCTACCAAATCCAGGTGGAGCCGGGTTTACCGCTTCGGGCTTAGGTTGTCAGCTCAGTTATAGCCCATGTTCAACTAAGGCTTTGGAGATTAAGTATTGAATGTACTAAGCAGGGCACCTGGGTGACTCAGTCGGTTAAGCGTCTGTCTTCTGCTCAGGTCGTGATCTTGGGGTCCTGGGATTGAGCCCCGCATTGGGCTCCCTGCTCAGCGGGGAGTCTGCTTCTCCCTCTCTCTGCCCTGCTCATGCTCTCTCTCTCAAATAAATAAAATCTTAAAAAAAATAAATAAATGTACCAAGCAATCACACCATTACAGATGTCTTTTACTGAAATACTCGAAAGGTCATAATTAAAGCTAACAATCCTGATGTTCTGCCCTACCAGATAAGGACAGACTGGGACCTTCTTGACCTGCCAAGCTTCCTTTTGGTAACTAAGAGCATGTGTACATGGGAACAGAAAGTTGAAATAACTTGAGGATACACTGAAGATACCTCTGAAGGAACATGGCTCTGCCAACTAGCAAAATGGCGGGTGGGTGGATGGGAGATTAAGTGCCCACTGCTATCAAGCCCCAAAGTCAAAGAAACTTATGGGAAAAAAGTAAATCTACCAAAGAGTGACTGAAAATCATCTACTGGGATATGGGATCATCTTCTGAGACAGAAAGAGTAGTGTTCATTTATTCATTTGTTCATTCATTCATTCATTCTCAGCAAACATTTAGAAAGTGAGGCCTTTTGCTGGTTACAGGGGATACCAAGATGAAAGCAGCAAGGATTCTGCTCTCAGATTGTTCCCACAGTAGTAGGAGTTCAGCATGTGGAAACAAACACTACATTTAGCACATACCGTAATGGAGAAAACAAGATGAACCAAGTGGGAGGACAGTCTCCTGAAGAACTTGGG